AGGAGATACTATCTAATTAAACAGATACTAAGTAATTGTAATACAAACTGCAATCTTAGATGGTAAATTGATAATAGTAATATTCTTTATTCACTCACATTTCATTAGTTGATGAATGATTTGGTGGGCTAATCTTACTCAATGTTTTTTGCTATCTCATTAATTTAGATTTTATCTATTTAACTTTTTCTTTTTTCTGTTAAATCTACTCTAAGAAATATTATTCTCTAGGAGTTCTTCAAATTTACATTTACTGTAATTTGATTTTGTAATTTGTAATGTATAGAGTAAACTATTGAATGATTTATAATTTGTAAACTTGTTAGTGGATTATATTTTCTTGGCAATTAGTATAAATCTTTCTATTAACTGTAAATGTTGGACCGTTAGCTATTACTGAATTTAAACTGTAATGAAGATGAGCAAGTGACCTGTGACGCTAACGTGTAATTATTGGCTATTGTAGTGTTGCTACAAATTAATGCAAAATTACAAATCCTTCTTTAATTTGTTACTCGTTAGCTGTTGGCTGATGATGTTTGGTGAAATTTGCATAGTTTTACTTGTCCCAAATTACCTGAATTTAAAATTTTATTTTTGAAATGACACATATTAATGTAAATCCTTCTTAAATTTGATTTTTAAAAATACTAAATAAATTATTTTGAAATATCTATATATTTTTATTTAATTTAGGTTTGTGGGTTGTGTCAGGTTGACCCAAAATAGAATCGGGCCAGGTTCATGTTAGGGAAGTTCACCTGAAATCCAAATCAAGTCAGGCTCTGGTCAGGTCTAAAAAGGTGGGTCATTTCGGGTTGGACCCAAACCCAACCTAAAAATTCATTTTTACACCCCTATGTGTTGGATAAGCTTATTGATATTTCTTCTGAAGCTGAAGGATTGGTGGATATTCCTGGCCATCGTAGTTCCTTATTTCACTCGTTGCAGTTGAATCTTTCACCTACAACATTGGAAAAACGGGTATATAGATCTTTATACGCGTGTTGACCTTTGTGTGTTATCCAGAAGATACAAAAGAAAAGAGGTTTAAACAATTACATACCTGCAATCTACCGGTTACCCCCATCCCACAAATCCCGCTGAATCCATCTCCGAAACAGTCGCTTCCCGCAAATCCTTCGGAGAGTCTCGATTCTGCCTCTGCCTTCGCCTATAAAATGCAAACGAAGGCTCTTCTTCGCTAGTTCTTCCACATACGCCAGCTCCAAGCCACAACCGTCACTCTTCCCCCACAAGACTCTCGCCTCACCCACTGCTGAGCTCAAACATAATCTGACGGGAGCTCCGTCCCTTACACAGCCTCCCTCCCGACCTCTTCGATCCAGAGAGAGAGTGAGAGAGTGAGAGAGAGAGGAAGCTATCTCCCTACCTAGCTGAGTTTCAGCCGCCTCTTACCCAATACCTCTAGACGCAAGCTCTCACGATATCGACA